TCGTACTGGCGCTTCATATCAGCTCTGCGCTTATTATTGCAGGATGCCGCTGCGGACCATGCAGCGTGAATAGCCGATACTAATGATTCTTTATACATACCGATATCATGATCCAACGGGACGTGGCCCTCCCAACTTATGCTGAATCAGTAGATCAATGTTAAAAATTGGATCACGACCGAACATAAGGAAAAAGGGAGTGTCATTGGTGCTGCTGTGGACGGAGGTGTTGTAAGCGAAGGTGCAAGCGGGGAGAAAGAGGTCCCAGTCGTCTTGGTTAGCGCTGATGTATGTGCGCAGCATTTCTTGAAACGTTTCGAACATCCGTTCGCAAGCGCCATTGCCTTCATGATGATACGGGAGTCGTGAAGTAACGTCCGATCTTCATAAGCCGTCCAATTTCCTGTGAGAAGTTCGCCTTTGAGATGAGCCGCATGTCGGAGACGAAGGTAGTCATAGCTCCGAAGACCAAAATTGCCTGGGTCATGAGCGCGTTGGCGACTGAAATCGAGGTGCAGTCCGGAAGGGCTGCTGTAATCGCGAACTTGGTGAAATGGTCGAGGAGGACAGAGAATGTACTTGTTATGGCGTGGGGTGGTCCGGTATGGGCCGCTGAGGTCTAAGAAGATCTTATCAAAGACAGCCCCTGCTTGGATGGGGAGAAGATTTTTCCGGGTAAGGGGGTGTGGCCGCTTTCGTTGACAAAAGTCACAGGACCGCACGAAGTTATATATATCGGCCTTCACAGAAGGCCAGAGGAACCGCCGCGAAATCTTGGCAAGTGTTTTCTTCCAGCTAAAATGGCCTCCTGCTGTTGGGTCTGTCATGCAAGGCGATGCAGAAGGGTTCCCGCAACTTGGAAGGGACCATAATCAATGGTTGGATACGGGAGAGTGGGCGCAGGACGGTCCCAGGTAGTACAGACAGCCATTCTTTTTCAGGACGCACCGATCTAGCAGTGAAGTACAGGCGTCCTGGAGCGCTGGTGACGTGTGTTCCGGAAACGCACCGGTTTCGAGGAAGTGCATGATGGTGCTGCACAAGGTGTCCTGTTTCTGTGCCAGGAGCGCGTCATAAGGGCGGATGTATGTCGGTGGCGGTATGGTTGGACTTGCCGACGGAAGGGAACCCTCTGCGTCTTCACCACGAGCACGCTGGTGGATGAGACACCGCGGAAATTCAACAATGTCATCGGTCTCCGCGCTGCCGTCCGCGAACCTGTTATTGGGATCCGCGTTGCGGCTGAGATGATCTGCGATCACGTTGGACGCCCCTTTGTGGTACTCCATGGTAAGGTCGAAACTTTGTAGCTCCACCACCCACCCACCGAGCCAGATTGTC